CTGTTCTTGTATCTTAAATTAATCCATTTCTATAAATCTATACCTTGCCATGTGGCTTGTGGCTTACTGACATCTTTACATGCTGCTTGTCCTGGTGGTGGCTGGCAGTGTCTCTCTGACTCAGGCTTCCACTTCCCAGAATTCTTCTCCTCCTTGTCCCGCCTATACTTCCTCCTGCCTGACTACCGCCAATCAGTGTTTTATTTACTAACCAATCAGAGCAAAACATTTGCCATACAGAACATCCCACAGCAACTGTCTACAAGGCTGTTACTGTTTGATGTAATCAATTCTCTTCCAACCTTTGAATCTAATGTACTCCAAACATTCTGGTATTGACTTATGCTGCACACTATCATAAACGTTAACCTTGGCTTTCACCTAGGAAATAGAGTCTTTCACTGAAACTGAGGTCATTTAGGTTATCACACTGGCCTGGAATATTTTCTTTTTTTTTTTTTACTTTGCATAATTTGAATGAATTTTATCTTGTTCCCTGCAATATTAAGCAAAAAAACAGCTTTTGTTGACACTGCATGAGTAACCATTACGGGGTCATTTATGCAAATGTAACTATTTTACAAGAATGTCATCATCTGAGAAAATCATGTTAAAGTTTTCTTTAAAATCTCAGCATGATGTAGTGTCTATACTTATGTAAGTCTCCCAGATCCAAGCCCAAGAGAATGGTTGTTAGCATTTACTTTAACAACTTAGAAGAAAAGATGCCTAATCTTCCATGTGAAAAGATCCCTGTTGGTAATTGAAAAATGAATTAGTGGTTAAGAACACAGGCTTCCCTATCAAAGGACTCATGTTTGATTCCCAACACCCATATGGCAGCTTATAATTGTCTGTAACTCAAGTCTCAGGGGATCTAATACCCTCTTCTAGCCTCCTAGGGAACCAGAACATGTGTGTTGGGCATACATACATGCTGGCAAAACCCCTAGACACATATAAATAAATAGTTTAAAGGACCCTGTTTAAATGTGGATTTTTACCTGCAATGAAAGTATCTTCATTTGTTTTACTGGGAAATGATGCCAAAGAGCTCAACCTTGCTTTGCCACTATGAGCAAGGGAAACATGCTTCCCTCCTAGAGTAGCCTCTGCCTTAGGCTTAAGAATGCCTGAAGCCTTATGGTGAAAGTATTCTAAAATGAAAAAAAAATATAAAAAAGTGATGTCAGGCAGTTGTGGCAACACACCTTTAATCCCAGTACTGGGGAGGCAGAGGAAGGTGGATCTCTGTGAGTTTGAGGCCGGCCTGCTCTATAGAGCAAGCTTCAGAAGGGCTCCAAAGCTACACAGAGAAACAGTGTTTCAAAAAAAAAAAAAAAAAAAAGGAAGAAGAAAAAGGAAAAATAAAAAAAAATTAAAAAAGAATGACAATACTCAGAACCAAACTATTTAAAAGCATGGAAGTTAATTCCTCCAGATTGAAACCTGTACATATAAAATATATCCAATCCCGTGTGTGTGTGTGTGTGTGAGAGACTCTAGCTAATTTCTTTTCCTCTTCTTTATATGGTAAAAACCTATTAAGAGAAGTAACTCTACTACCAACATAATTTGCAATTATGACTAAAAGACTATCTATTTTAGTCATTTTCAAACTTTTCAAATTTAAATATTTATAGAGACTTAGAGTGGCGCACTAGTAGCCAGGTGTTTCTGGGTATTAACTGCTTCTCAGTGCAGCATCTCATTTATTACATCACCACAATGAAGCAACCTTCGTGAATCTCATTCTCTCTCTGTGGAAGCTGAGGACTGAAATGGTAAATCATGTATCAAATGTTCACAGTACAGAAGTAAGAGAGTCTGACACTCAAATTCAGGTCTTTCTGACACCATATAAGTGGATTGCTTATTTCTATGACATAACACTTCACTTGTATACATATATGTCTTGAGTCCTTTTACAGGTCATATTCTAGAGTCAGTAGATGAAAAATAAAGTGGTTATTTGATGTTCCACTAGAAAATTTCCCCAAATTCTCTAACAACTACACGTCCCAGAATTCTAAATAAAATTAATACGTTCAAAGCTAGAATGTATCACTGTTTCTTTGATTGCCTATTAGATAAAGCAGCCTGATTAGAAGCTGTAATACATGATGGTGTCCAATACATGACTGTGTCCTTAAATACTGAAATCACATTATGAGTAGGAAGATACACCATCAGAAGTCTACAGAAATGAAGGAGCTAGGAAGATGGTTGAAAGGATAAAGCACTGGAATGCGAGGAATGTGGACATCCCAGATTCATGTAAAAACTGGGCAGGAGTGGCAGTTTCACGTAATCCCAGCACTCATAAGACAGAGAGAGAAATCTTCAAGGCTAGCTGCCTAACTAGGCTCTCTGGGACTGCCAAAATCTGGGTTCAGCAAGAGATCCTTCCTCTTTCCTCGATAAATAAAGTGCAGAATCAAGAAAGGTGCCTGATGTCAATTTTGAGAACACACACACAGTGAAACAGAGAGAGACAGAGAGAAACCCCCACTCCTGTGCTTACATATGAAAATATACATACATGCTTGCATACCACACACAAGTGAATGTATGTACACACAAAGAAATCAAGTAACCCCATAGCAATTAAATACACTTTTAACCTCATGTTTCCTCTAAGTCAGAGTGGATAAACTTAGTCCATATCATGTAAACTATAAATTCTCCCTCTGTCTCTCATTTCTCTCTCCTTATTTATCAGAGAAGTAGGGTATCTATGATGCACATACTGAGCTTACTGTTATTAATTACACTGGCAACAAAGCACATATAACTTATAACCATTCTCTGAATACCACAACACGTAGAACTAATCATAACATGTCACCCAAAACTCCCACATCTTCCCCTATGTCTGCAGCAGCAGGTGGTCACCAAGGAGTATGTTCTCAGGCTGAAGTATTATATTTGAAATGACTGTCCTAGACACAGTCTTGTTTTTGAGCTGAGCATCTCAATACTTTGCTAGCTAAATGCATAGTCTGGAACATGCATACAATATTACAAGTCATTCCTTTTTTCATTATATAAGAAACACTAATGTCATATTTTATGCTTCTAACCAATGACACCTGGAATAGCAACCATATAATTATCTCCCTGAGACTTGTCTACAGAATATAGTCTCTTATAATGTCCTAGAATAAGCATTTATCTTGATCCTAAAACAAGAAAAGCAGTTTTGTTTAACTGAATATTCAACATGATAGTGACCATATAAACACTGAGATTTTGTGGAAGAATGATGAGCATTTTCTTTGCTTTATCTAACACAAAGTTCAATGTCAAAATTGGGAACCTTTTTTAGCAATTAAATATTTCAACATGGTGGCCAGGCTTTATTTCTGAGCTATTTTACATGCAATTTCTCTTGACCTTGTCTAACTTACTTATTTCCATTCAGATACTTTAGACATTTCTCTATGTTAACCTTATTTTGATCAAAGCAAGATTGGAAGAGACAGGGAAAGGAATAAAAATAGTCATTACAATGATTAGGTAACTCTTTGGGGACTCATAAAATGTACTGCTAATGAATTCTACATATCACAGCTTGACAAAAGGACAGAGTTAGAATTTCCTGCCAGATTCCAAGGTTTCTAACTGAATTACGGCAGACATTGTTTCCCTTAGGACCACAATAGTTACAGAAGTGAATGAGAGACACATGTTCTCCAGTGAGAGGCTTGGGGATGTGATCAGAGCTGTGGGATGATCAACTAGAAACACCAGGCAGAGCCAACACAACAAAAGGAGGTTTGCAAACCTGCCTGAACCTAGAAATGATATTTTAGATGACCATTGTCCGTGATTAATAAGAGTCAGCCAGGGATACTTACAAACAGGAGTATCTCAGTCTGAAGGCAGAAAGTAAGAAGGACCCAGATGGCCAATGATACTTAAAATTACATCAAGTGATTGTGGTGGGAGTTAAAAATATGAGATTCTCAAAGAAGCTTCTCTCTTCCCTTATGTGCAGGTTTATCAGCCACATCCACTGAGTATGTCTATAGTGAAGGGTGTTGTTCAAGTCTCTGTCATCAAGATGAATGATGTCTTTCCTCATGAAATGAACCTTCTGTTCATTCACTGTCAACCAACTACACCAGTCAGTTACCATTTCGATTGAATACAATTCTTATAAACAAAATTGATTGTTTTACCTTAGCATAACTTCATAGGACCAGGCAGGGTGTAGGCAACTAGAATTCTAACACTTAGAAGACAAAAATAGGGAGAGAAGTTCATCCTTAGCTAAATAATGAGTTCAAGGATAGCTTGGGCTTCAAGAGACCCCATTGAAAGGGGAGTGTCATAAAAAGAACCACAAAGGAATTCCCAAGTTCATTATATACATAAAACATTAAGCCCATTGGCCAACCACTAAGCAAATTTAATAAATTTGAATAAATCTCTTGCAAGTGCTGCTAACTAGAATTGACTCTCTGAAAGCAGTCTCAATTTTAAGCTCTGTTTGCCTAAATACATTCTATCTCTTAGTCAGTTTTGCTCGTTTTGTCCAAGTCATTCCAAGGCATCAGATACTCATAAAATCAAGGTGGCCTTGTGATGGTGTTCATATAATTCTAAACAGTTCTCCTACTTAGGAGAAAGACTGAGAAGGAACTCACATCATGGATGGACACAGGCAGCCATATTGTCTCACTGTCTATAAACAGATTGGAGTTCTCCTCCACATCTCTTAGGCAGAAGTTAGGCACCCATTGTACTGTCTATTCTGTTCACATCATCTCTTGGTATCAAGGAGCTGCAGTTTAACACCTTTGAAAATCTCTCCAAAAGAAACAACATGCTGTAGATAAAGACCTCAAAGATGCAGTCACAGACCTGGAGTAATGTAAGATCAAGGGCATGGCGGTGATTATGTATACTGTTCACTTAATAATATCTCAAGAAAACTCTGCAAAGCAGGGATGTTTAAAGAGTATAGTAAGTTTGACAATACAATCACTTCCTACCTGCCTCTTTGGAAATCTGTGTAAAGGACTCCACACCTTTCTCTCCATAGCTTCCTTCAGATGCAAGAGTAGACACATAATTCCAGCCCAAGGCCTTTACAATGTCTACCATGGCCTGAGCTTGAAAGGAATCAGGTGGGACCACTCGAGAGAAGAAGTCATAGCGCCGATCATCACTGAGCTCGGGAGCCGTGGATGCATAACTAATCTGAGGTATCTGAAATGACAAGAAAACACCATGTGAGAACACACCAGGAGGGTGGGACAGACTCATGTGTACTTAGGACAAGCCACTCAAAAGACAGGGCTTGAGCAGTGTACTGAATGAGTATTCTGCCCAGTTACCATTCTACATGCCCATCTAGATGCACCCAGACCCTTCTTAGAAGTGAAGGGCATTTTCTTTTGTATCTTCTTGTTCTACTTTCTCTCTATAAGATAAAGGAGTGAGGACACCCTACGGTAACCATCACGGATTGTTAAAAGCAGAGGCTTTTAATTAATTAATAATTAATTTCATAATTAATCCACCAAGTACTATAACAGGTATAATACCAAAAGAAGCCCAATTGCCTTGTATCTAGAGACCAGCATAGACCACAGAGACTATGGTTCTACATGTGCATCATGAGGCATTAGTATAGAGTCTTGAGGACCTACAAGAACACATCGAAGTGACTTCTGTGTGGTAATTCATTCCCTGAAGAACATTATAATATATCTCAGTAGTGCCCCAGTTCAGGTAAGGAAGTTCCCTGGTGCAAACATTTCACTCTAGTACAGTGGTTCTCAGCTTGTGAGTTGCCACTCCTTTGGGAGTCGCATATTGCATATCCTCCATATCAGATATTTATATTATAATTTATAATAGTAGCAAAATTACAGTAAGGAAGTAACAATGAAATAGTTTAATGGTTCAGGGTCACCACACCATGAGGAACTGTATTGAAGAGTTACAGCATTAGGAAATTTAAGAACCACTACTCTAATGGATCTCACACTTGGAAGATCATCTCCACAGTATCACACATTCTCCTTGGGTGCTGGGAGGCACCTCGAAGTCCTGTTGTTTGCAGTTCACAAGGATTTAAGAGTCTCTTCTTTTCCTATTAGTGTAGTATCTGCTCCTCTTACATGAGCTGAATCTATTTAGTTGTAAGGAGCTCTAGTGTACTGTGGGGTATTCTGTATGTTAAATGTGTTGCTCTGATTAGTTAATAAATAAAACACTGATTGGCCAGTAGCCAGGCAGGAAGTATAGGCAGGACAAGGAGAGAAGAGAATTCTGGGAACAGGAAGGCTAAAGCAGGAATCTTGAGTCAGACACAGAGGAAGCGAGATGTAAAATTACCAGTAAGCCACAATCCACATGGTAACTTACAGATTAATAGAAATGGGTTAATTTAAGATATAAGAACTAGATAATAAGAAGCCTGCCACGGCCATACAGTTTATAAGCAATATAAGTCTCTATGTGTTTACTGGGTTGGATCTGGGCGGCTGCAGGACTGGCGGGTAAGAGAGATTTGTCCTGACCATGGGCCAGGCAGGCATGGAGAAAACTTTAGCTACACTAGTGCTTGTACCTAGGAGCACCAAACTGGGGAACCACAGGAGGACATGAGGTATCAAATTCTCCTCTTTTCTGGTGTGGAGCTAATTTGGGGATTTGGTGATTTTAATGCATTAATTCTAAGCTAAATCAAAGTTTACAAATAGAGGATCTGTAACATATATATTGTATTAATTATATGTCGGACTAGTACATAAACATACAAGCACACACACACATACAAACACACACATATACACATACACAGAGTCTCAAATACACTAAGGAAAGTTACAAAGCCGCTATTGATGACTAACATGGCTTAGGACCTGACATTAGGGCCACTGTGTGAGTTACCTCTGCACTGCACTCCATCCCTCTCTCAATGTGACCAACTTTTTCTCTCTGATTTCTGAAAGGTTGTAACCTATAATTAGCATTACAAGTAATTATGTACAAGAATAATGAACTGACAATATTTTGTATGAAAAATCCTCTCTTTATCATATTTTCTCAGATATCTAAATATAATTTGATTTTGCATAAACTGATCTGGTAATTCATCTATTTTGCCATAAACATGCCAAAGCCAAACTCACTTTGAATTTCTGAGTTTTGAAATTTCTATTTGATATTGGCTATTTCTGTTTTTCAAAGTTATTTTCATCTCTTGAAACACAGTTATTACTGCTATAAAGATCACGTCTCCCCCACCTTTAAAGTTCAACATTAACCTCATTGAGCCTGACAGAAGTCAGATTCGCTCTGCTCCCCTACTCACGCTGCAGGTTGGCTCCTCAGCACTGGCCAGAAGGATCTCTGCCCTAAACTGGAAGCACAAACTAATGTTAGGAAGCCTCAGAGTCTCCTGTTGAAGACTTTACTCGAGTAACTAAATTACATGGCTATCAAGGGGCACTGGGAGTAAAATGGAGTATCAGCAAGAGCTGGGATCAGAGCATAATCACTTGTTAGCTCATACTTCTACTGCAATGAGTTAGTTGCATCATCAACTCTTCTCACAAGGCAGAGATGCACATTGTTCATCATGATGCCAGGACAGGACAGAGTGGGTATTTCATGCCCTGGGGAATAATTATGAAAATGCAGGATAGTATATAACTATAACTAATGTTATCCATTCTCCACATTTGACTTTTGTGGTTTTTGGAGTGTGATATGTCCTACACAGCTCAGGTATTTCTAATACTTGGTCTCCAGTTGGTGACACTGTTTTGGAAGGTTCTGGGACATTTAAGACATTGATCACTGAGGGAGGAAGTATATCACTGGACATGGGTTTTCAAGTGTTATAGCCTGCCCCTACTTCCTATCTGCTCCTGCCCTACTTCCTGTTCTCTCCCCACCCGACTACCTGGGTGCCTGACTGGCCTCTTGGCCTTCAAATTATGACAGATTCTACTCCCCTCCAGAACTCCAGTTCCAAATAAATCCTTACTCTCCAAAGTTACTTCTTACTAAGGTATACTAGCAAAGTAACAGAAAAATAACCAGTATGATTTCCCAAATTCTCTAGCACAGGTTACATTTCTTCTCTGTGTCCTAAAGCAAGGTAACAGTTTTACATTTATTGCAATAATGACTGCTTTAGAAACCACATCTATTATATGCTGAACTCTTTATATAATATACATATCATGTTCTGTGAGTTTCATAGGCAATCCATCATCTAGTTATCATCAATTATTCTTCAGTGTCCTACATTATCATATACTAGATTATACTACATAGTACTATATTTTTATTAGCGTGTTTGATAGAAGGAGTAGGCACTGAGCTGCAGAGTTCAATCATGACCTCAGAATATAGAGCTTTAAAATTAATATCCTCATTCAAGCCTGAAAATGGACTGTGCAAACAACTGAACTCTTAATTATGCTAATTTACAAAATTTTACTAAAATATTTAATAATGATCATGAAAAGGAAGGCCAGTGGATTATTAGAGTCTAAGTGGATTTCTGCTCACAGCATTAACTATGTCATCACTGAAAGTCAATTTGTGGCTCATTCTGTGACAACTGTTCAAACAATTTATTTAAGCACCTGGGTGAAGCTCACACAAACACCTTAACAGTCTGGGCTATGTATATGTTTATAGTTTGAAGGATTTAACTACTAGGGAAAGAAAATCTTCACTGATAGTGCTTCAGGGAGAAACACGGGGGAGAGAGGAGTGGGACTTGACAGTAGTTTCCTTACTAGAAATGAAAAGACACAAGGCAAAGCATGTCAAGACATTGCCATTAATTTTCATTTGATGAAATGTAGAAGACTCATGATGATGCACAGATGTTGTCCCTGCCCAAATCACTTCCCACCTCTGAAAGTGAGTTAATAAAGTTATACCCAGTCTGCCACTCATATTTGCGTTTATATTCCGGGGAAGAAACATCAGAATTACAGAGAACCACAATGGCAAAGCATTTTCTAAACTATCCATCAATTACAGCTATGAAAATCTTGGTAAAATAGATTCCTTTCCTCACTATCACCTACCTTTTTTCAATTATTGCTATTTGATGTCTATCTCTTCCAGGTTTAAGGCCCAAATTTCTATTCAGGACCATGCACACCTCCACTTCAATATTTTACTTATGTCAACACCTGGCATATAATCCTAGAGTATGGAATGAACTAAAGATCAAATGGATTTAACTTCTGAGATCAAAATGCATTGCATAGAAATAATCCTTCCAGTAATAGAGATGAAAGAGTGGAGAAATTTCTATAATCTATGATACACAATCCTGCATGTTTACACAGCAATGAGGTCTTGTGCTCAGCTTCTTGCTTTCAAGCAGATTTTCAAGTTTATGTAGTTATTGCTTTGAGGATACTTCTAATATTTAATTGCAGAACCTAAAATGTATCTTATTATTAGTCTTTTCTCCTGATAAAAATGAACCTATCCACCATTGGGCGATCCCTGTGTCCCTCCTGGGGTCCTGTTTTCCAGGTAGCCTCCCTGGTGATGTGAGTAGCAGACAAGTCATCCTTGTTCCATGTCTAGTATCCTGCTATGAGTGAGTACATACCATGTTTGTCTTTCTGAGTCTGGGTTACCTTACTCAGGATTATTTTTTCTAGATCCATCCATTTGTCTGCAAACCTCATGATGTCATTGTTTTTCTCTGCTGAGTAGTATTCCATTGTGTATATGTACCACATTTTGTTTATCCATTCTTCAGTTGAAGGGCATCTAGGTTGTTTCCATGTTCTGGCTATTACAAACAATGCTGATATGAACATAGCTGAACAAGTGCTCTTATGGTGTGGTTGAGCATTCCTTGGGTATATGCCCAAGAGTGGTATAGCTGGATCTTGGGGGAGATGGATTCCCAATTTTCTAAGAAAGCGCCATATTGATTTCCAAAGTGGTTGTACAAGCTTGCATTCCCACCAGCAGTGGAGGAGAGTTCCCCTAGCTCCACATCCTCTCGAGCATAAGGTGTCTTCAGTGTTTTTGATCTTAGCCATTCTGACAGGCGTAAGGTGGTATCTCAGAGTTGTTTTGATTTGCATTTCCCTGATGATTAGGGATGTTGAGCAATTCCTTAAATGTCTTTCGGCCATTTGAGTTTCCTCTGTTGAGAATTCTCTGTTTAGTTCTATAGCCCATTTCTTAATTGGACTGTTGGCCAT